TCTCCTCTCTCTCTACCCCCTCCACTGTATAACCCTGAGGGTCTCCTTCCATTTCCATGCAATTTCCCTTCTCTCTCCCTTTCCCTCCCACCTCTCATCCCAGTTTAATGTTAATCTTCTTCTCATGCTCTTCGTCCCTACTCTGATCTTAGTTACTCTCCTTATATCAAAGAAGACATTTGGCATTTGTTTTTTAGGGATTGGCTAGCTTCACTTAGCATAATCTGCTCTAATGCCATCCATTTCCCTGCAAATTCTATGATTTTGTCATTTTTTAATGCAGAGTAATACTCCATTGTGTATAAATGCCACATTTTTTTTATCCATTCATCTATTGAAGGGCATCTAGGTTGGTTCCACAGCCTTGCTATTGTGAATTGTGCTGCTATGAACATCGATGTAGCAGTGTCCCTGTAGCATGCTCTTTTTAGGTCTTTAGGGAATAGACCAAGAAGGGGAATAGCTGGGTCAAATGGTGGCTCCATTCCCAGCTTTCCAAGAAATCTCCATACTGCTTTCCAAATTGGCTGCACCAATTTGCAGTCCCACCAGCAATGTACAAGTGTACCCTTTTCCCCACATCCTCGCCAGCACTTGTTGTTGTTTGACTTCATAATGGCTGCCAATCTTACTGGAGTGAGATGGTATCTTAGGGTGGTTTTGATTTGCATTTCTCTGACAGCTAGAGATGGTGAGCATTTTTTCATGTACTTGTTGATTGACTGTATGTCCTCCTCTGAGAAGTGTCTGTTCAGGTCCTTGGCCCATTTGTTGATTGGGTTGTTTGTTCTCTTATTGTCTAATTTTTTGAGTTCTTTGTATACTCTGGATATTAGGGCTCTATCTGAAGTGTGAGGAGTAAAGATTTGTTCCCAGGGTGTAGGCTCCCTATTTACCTCTCTTATTGTTTCTTTTGCTGAGAAAAAACTTTTTAGTTTGAGTAAGTCCCATTTGTTGATTCTAGTTATTAACTTTTGTGCTATGGGTGTCCTATTGAGGAATTTGGAGCCCGACCCCACGGAATGTAGATCGTAGCCAACTTTTTCTTCTATCAGACGGCGTGTCTCTGATTTGATATCAAGCTCCTTGATCCATTTTGAATTCACTTTTGTGCATGGCGAGAGAAATGGATTCAGTTTCATTTTGTTGCATATGGATTTCCAGTTTTCCCAGCACCATTTGTTGGAGATGCTATCCTTCCTCCATTGCATGCTTTTAGCCCCTTTATCAAATATAAGATAGTTGTAGTTTTGACACACATACATCTTAACATATAAACTTAACACTTAAATTACAACTGTTAAAATTTATTTTGACATGAAAGTTATTAGCATTTACAGCTAGTTTTCTTCAAATGGTTAAATATTAAGATTTTTTTTTTTTTTGGTGGGGGAGCGGGCTTCTCAATTCAGATGACATGTAAGTACGTAATTTGAGGAATAGTGTGAGAACAGTGATTTCTTTATTTAAGCATTTTCTCAAATCCTACTACAATAAGATTGTATGGTTTTTAATACATGTATATATTTTAAGGTATGCCTTGAATGTGGTGAAGATTATTGTTCAGGATGCTTTGCTAAAATCCACCAGAAGGGGGCACTGAAGCTCCACAGAACAACACTTTTGCAGGTATGACTTTTTATAATGCTTTACTTGCAATGTATTTATAAAATGTTTCAATGTAAAGACATTTAAAACATGTTTAAATTAGAACTCAGAATGATTTACCTTAATTTCTAAAATTGTATTATGTACAGAGAGTCTTGACATATATCTTAAAATTATTTTACTGAACACTAATCTAGATTCTATTTTGCTATTTAAACTGTGTTTTAATATAGTCCCTGAAACACTTAACTTGATTGGAATCTTTAGATTATGCATTCAGTCCATGAACTTGACATTTTAAATTAGACAATATTTTTACCTATTGTGGTTTTAAATGAACATATGGCTTATTTTAAGTACTAATTGTAGCTAGTGTATGAGTAGAAATCTCTTATGTTTTCTTTTCATATTCATTTTAAAAAAATTTTATTTGTTCTCACTCATAATTATTTAGATAAGTTCAGCTCTCAGGTTTCTACATTTCCTTCCACATATTGGAAATTTTTATTTATATAAATATTTATATAAAAATAATTTTTATTAGTACATTAGTATATTTATTAATATGATATTCATGTTTATTTATATGAATATATGAAAGCTAAATGAATGTATATGTGTATAATCATTGTCCCTTACTTTTAATCTTTACTGTTTAAAATGCCTCAACAGAAGCCCTGTAAAATGGCTTTAAAATTCAGATTACTTAAACAATAAATATGGTCAGATACATACATGACATCATACTAGTTACATATAATTATGCGTGAATTCGTTATTGATTTAATTCAATTTATAGTAATTTATTTAATGCATATTAATAAATGCCCTCTAGAAAATAAGATATGTGCTAGGCAGGTACATTAGATGGTTAATATTGATAGCATTTTGTTCCAAAGGACCTGGACATAAAAATGAGAACCAAGGACCTCATGTAATGGGTTAAGAATTTTAACATCTTGTAGACAAAGGGAAGGAGGTGATCAGATCTATATTTTAAAACATTACTGTTAAGGTTTCAATTTTTACATGTTACATCAATATAAATATTGGTAACTCTCAAAAATGCTGTGACCCCAGTTATGATTATCACAAATTATCAAGTATAGACCTAACTTACATTTATCAAAGTCAGTTATTTTTGAATTACAAATGTTTAGAGTTTTCAAACAAAAGTAATCGTGGGAGAACAAAAACTAACCTGGTCCTTCTCTCCTTTGGTATATTATAATTATATCATATTATTCTCTATAAAAGTGAGTCATTAAGATTCAAGGTGGAGGATTAGAGGCAACAAGTCTTCACAAGTTAAAATCAAAGCAACAGAAGTATAGCTGCATGATAGGGTGGATGTCCATGGGAGAGTGCTGGAATGTAATAGTCAAGAGACAGAGACTTAGAGACAACCAGAGTTTTTGGATAGTGGAAGTGTGGGAAAAACCGAGCATCCAGCTGGAGGGAAGGCACCCGTCATCTGTGGGGGTAGGGTGTGTAAGTGAGGTTCTCCCTCTAGCACAGAATTTGCCATCCTACAGAAGAATAAACAGAGTTTGCATGGTGAGCTGGCTCTGGAGAGAGTTTTAGTACTTCCTGATATATTCTCACAGTGCTGTAACTGGCAGTCATCTGGATAAAGGTCTTATTGTGTGAGTTATAGCCCTGAGGTTCAAGAGTTCCTGCATTTTCCTATCTCCCGCCACCTGCCCCCTCCTCTCCCTGGCAATATGTGGCTCAGCAGGTGGCCACTCTAAGAGTCAGTTTGCCCTGGAGGAGGGACTGTGACTTAGACCAACTGAGAATCCTATGTGATGAAAAATGAGGGGGAATGGAAGGCACTTTCTTTTAAAATCAGCAGTTTGAGTGTCCTGCTGTCAAGAGCCTGGGGGTGTGAACAGTCTTGTGTGATTTTCTGAGGGAACCAAGTCTGGTAGCACCAGTCATGCAAAGTGAATCTTGCAGGTCCCACCTTTCCTTCTCCCAGTGTAGTTCTTTTGCCATTCCCTTGGCTGGTGGGGTTGGTGAGAGATTTGCTGCAGAGCCAGTGCTGGCCCCACTTTCAGAGAAAGCAGCCCACAAAGTTCTGGAGAGAATCCTAGGGGGATTCCTCATTCCAAGACAGTTGACAAAAGCTGCAGCACTGATGTTAACCTTGCCCTTGAAGACTGCAGCTCTAAAACCCTCAGAGTTTTTGCCAGGTGAGTTCAGCCTTCCGCTGGACCACTGACATACTGTGATATTGGCATTTTTCCCACCCCAGGAGTGTGCAGCTCAAAAAGTTCCAGAAGGAATCTTTATTGGGGGAGTTTCACTCTCTAAGTTAGCTCATTCCAGGAAGCAGAGCAGCTGAGAGGAATTGCAACTGGTTCAGCTACAAATCACTTCTGCTAGTCAACAGGCAAGAAAGAAAAGGGGGATGAATAACTCCTAAATTTTGCTCTGTCTGTGGAATTCACAGCCCAAGAAGACTCAGAGAGAAGCTTTGATCTGCATAGGTGGCGAGGTTCCTTTCAAGTACCTGGATGGAGAGGAAGTTTTTGATTTCTATTAATATTTTTATTCTTGTTGTTGAAGCTGTTTTTGTTTGTTTGTTTGCTTGTTGTGTCTCTTTTTCTATCTCTCTAGCTTTTTTAAAAAAATTTTTACTCCTTCCTTATTTTTCTTCCCCTTTTATTCTTTGTTCCTATTTCAGTTTCACATCTGCTTTCCATTTCTCTCTTTTTTTTTCTTGGAAATTTTTAATTATTATTTTTTTCTTTTTTCCCTTTAAAAATTGTTACTGTTATCATTTTAAATTTATTTTATTCTACATCACATTTTCCCCTGTCTTCTATTGTTTTTCTGTTGCTTTTTATTTATTTGGTTTTTCTTTGTGGTGCTGGGAATTGAGTCCAGGACTTTGGACCCATTGGGTGGGTCCTCAGCCACTGAACTACAATCCTGGCTCAACTGAGAGGAAGTGCACTTTGTTGCAGGCACAACCTAGTCCTGCTCAAAACTTGGTGATACTTCAACTTAAAGAAAAGATGTGTGTGTGGGTGGGGGGGACTTTCCCAGCCAATGACCTATCCCCAACCAGGCATAACAAGTGGAATCTTATGGCTTGCTCCTGGACACTCACCCCCATAGCAATAACAGACATGTAACACAAAAACTGTCTGGACACTGAACTTATGAAGATCATCAGCACTCATAACTGTTTCACCCTATTAGATTGCACATTTTTTAAAAGACTAGAGATAAGTGCCACAGAGGGGAGCTGTGACCCTGGACTCTGCATCTTCCCATGAAACACCAGGGTACTAGTATCTGAACAGAGAATAAAAGATTCAGGACCTTCATAATGACTGGAAAAGCCAGTACCAGAACTGTTTTCAAGTAACTCAATCAGTATCAACTGTATCTGAGAAACCCCTATCACCTGCTAGGTGCTTCCACTCCCATCGACCAGAGTATCAAAAACAGGTTCACCCCACTTATCCCACTGCCTATACCACACCTGCCTGAATTACCAGAAGGACTCTCTCTTGTGAGACTGACAGAAAAAGGAGGCTCCTCATACCCTGACATTGTATACATTTTGCCAAAAGATTCTAAATACAGCCACAGAAGCCATTGGGAGACTGTACTATGAAGTCCAATTGGAATAAAACTCAAAACTACACAGAAAACTGATACCCAAAGACACTTTATCAAGAGAACATTGCTTACCAAGAGGATCCTCGCATAAAGGTAGAAGAGATAGCCATACCAATAGATGCACAAATTTCAACATAGGATCTAAAAAATATGAAAAAATAGCATTAAAATGTAATGTCCTAAAGTTAGTAACACCATAGTAACAGATTTCAGAGGTACTAAAGTGGATGAAATGCTGGATAAAGAATTCAAATAATGATTTTGGAAAAGCTCAATGAAATCCAAGAGAAGAAAAACCAATAGCTGAATGAACTAAGAAAGATAGTATAGAATGTGAATGAGCATTTCAATAGAGATTTTGGAAAAAAAAAAAAAATTGAAGTCTTGGAAATGAAAAACTCAAGTCAGATTTAAAAAACAAACAAACTCAGTTGAAAGCCCCAACAATAGACTAAATCAATCAAAGGAATAGTGGAGCTTGAAAACTACTGGACACTAAATTTGCATTCAGATAGCAATAAAGAATAAAAACAAGAATGAAGAGAGCACTCAAGATATCTGAGCACCATTAAAGCCAAAGATCTGCTCTGTTGGCATACTGGAGGGAGAAGAGCCACAGGCTGAGGCAGAGATAACCTGCAGTGAAATAATAGTAGAATACTTCCCAAATTTTAAGAAAGATCTGGCATCAAGAACTCTGAAAGAGATGACCAGAAAATAACCTGCCCATGACATATTATAGCTAAATTGCTAAAAGTATAGGACAAAGAAAAAATATTAAAAGGTACAAGAGGACCAAATCACATTTAAAAGCAAGCCCATTAGATTAAAAACAGATTTCTTAGAAGAAACCCTAAAGGCAGGAAGGGCACAGAAAATGTATTTCATGTCTTAAAAGAAAATAGTTGCAAATCAAGAGTAATATAGCCAGCAATATTACCCTTCAGAAATAAGGACCTTCCAAGGTAAGCATAAATTAAGGGAATTCATGACCACTAACTCAGTATTTCAGAAGATACCATAGTGAACTCTACATGCTGACAAGGGGGAAAAAATAATGTACATGATCATGACAGCATGAGAACGAATAAATCTCATTAAAACAATGGACATGCAAATGGAATATAGGAGAGAAGCAAACATTACTAATATAGTCAATCATCAAATGTAAAAGATGAATAAGAGAGAAACATATATATAGAATATTCAAAACAACCAGAAAAAAAAATCAGTCAAGTGCCCAGAAGTCCACACCTTTCCATAATACTCCTGAATGTAAATCATCTCAATTTACCAATTAAAAGAGGTTGATTGGATAAATCAACCACAATGGTTTAAAAAAACAAGAACCAACAATATGCTGTGTCTTAGTTACCTTTTTCATC